GTGATAAGATTACAGGGAAAGAATGAGCACCAAGTCAATGATTGGTATTGCAACGGCCAGTTGCGCCTGTATCATTGTCATATCAATGGTCGCTGTTTGTGTAATATTAATGAAATAAACAATTTGCATGACGATGTTATGGATGAAATGGGCGTCTTTAGAGTTAGTAATTTTATGAATGTCAAATTTCTAATTTAGATTTTCATTTTTTTGTTGTTTTATTTGTTTTACAATTTATAGCAAGTTTATTTAAGAATAAATTAAGAAAATGTTAATTATATTGTATTTCGTTTTTTTCAATAACCATTATCAAACATGAAATGTGATACTATGATAATAGCTATTGAGAATTCATGCGCAAATGATTATGTTTACCGCTAGATTATTTGATCATTTACAGTATTATAAAAAGTTAGAAGTAGATATATGAAATACTATTAGATGAATTAATTAATTATGATAATTATATATATGATAATTAAGAAGGATCAAATTCAATATTCTTTCAGACAGTTGCAGATGATACTTGGGAAAGAATAGTAATGTTCCCTTTGGTCCAGGTGGTCGTCGACAAGAAAATTTTCTCTCTTTGATTAACCGATACAAACGACAATTCATTCCACCACCACATTGTCGTTTCGTTTTCAACTTTTAACATTAAATCATAAAAAAAAGAAAATTGAATTAAGCCAAGATTGATTTTTTTTGAAATTCTAGAAATTATTTGGAGATCAGTTCCATTCAGAAATGTGCAGTTTGGATAAAATGATAAAATTTATTATAGAATGTCAAGCGCGCAGAATTATGTCCACGGGACACCAGGACCACCAGGTGATAAAGGTCTAAGAAGGTATTGATGGACCGATTGGCAACGATGGTAGAGACGGTGCCAGTGGTGTATCACTGGTAGCGACATATCACTTTCCTGGTGGTTGCATAGAATGTCCTCGGGACGACAGGGACCACCTGGACCTTAATGGTTTAGAAGGAGATTATGGACCACAGGACGTCGTGGATCACTTGAATACCGGGTAAAAGTGGACAACGTGGACCAGTTGGACACCAGGTGAAATGGGTGAACCAGGACCTGATGGAGCACTGGAAGGCCAGGATCACCAGGAAGAGATGGAAAAGCGAGCTTGGACCACAAGGACCGAAAGACCAACTGGACAAGAGACCACCAGGTTTGCCAGGTCCGGATGGAAACAGAGGTGCGATGGTGAACCAGGAGAACAGGGAATGGAAGGACGACGAGGAAATGATGGTAGAAAAGGCAATGATGGACGTCCTGGAGCGGGTATATTTGACATTTTTTTTTAAGAATTTTTAAAATTACTTAAATTTTTACATTGCTGTTCTTTTTAAAATGTTTAATGATGTATCATCACATTTAACTTTTTATGGATAAGTAAGATATTGTTTCGTTCTTCCACTTGACAACTTCATAATTAGATATAATATTTTTAGCTTTGGTAGGCCTGGTCTACCAGACCAGATGCTCATTACTGCCATGTCACCACGAAGTTCAGCTTACCTAACGAAGATACATTGACGATAATCGACTCTCTCTCTCTTTATATATACATATATGCTCATTCAAACGGTGACATGGAAATATTAATTTCTTTTTTCTCAACAAATATTTGTCATTCTGATCAAAGTGACGTGGAATTCAACAATTAACAATAATTGATATGATGAAGCTCAATAAATATGGTGCAAAATAAAACATCCATTTCGCATAAATTTTTTCGCTATTTTTGTTTACACTGTACGCTTTTAATATCAGATAAAAAAAAAAAAAACTAATAATGGAAAATTGATTTCATAAAGTATTTGTGATAATTATAAGAGTTTGATGGTGCAAATGTTAGGTAATTAAACAGTAATAACATAATAACAGCTAATGTTAACATATTTAATTCTTTAATATATTACATTAATACTACTCATTAAGTAAATGTTCAAATTTTTCAAAAATTGGTTTATGAAATTCCATTTTTTTTTCTTCTCCAATTTTTTAATGATTTAGCAAAAAATACACAAATTTCATTGGTTATTAGTAAAAATAAAGAATTTAAAAAAAAAAAAAAGAAAGAAATGAGAAGGAAACTAAACATTGACCTTTAACTTAACATGAAAAATCATTTTTTTTTAGACTCTTTGATGGATTTATTGCTATAGATGCTATATTCTTTTTTTTTTAAACATTATCTCCCTCAATCATATACAGTGATTAAACTGCTTTACTGATATTTAATGAATTAAATAATTTTTAAATTACATTACTGTTAATTATCAGTAAGATGAATGCAATATCAGCAAAAGAAAATTTCCAACATATCACTCATATATCTATTTTAACTATTATCTTTTCAGAACAATCATTTGTCAAAAATTTTAATCACTTCGTTTTTGTTTTTTGCTCTCTTATCAATAACTAATCATTGAATATTACCAAAAAAAAAAAAAAAAAAACCCTTTTTAAACATATTAAAAGCAACTATTAGATGGATTATTTATAAACAAAAATTAGTACAGTTTTAAAAAATATCCCTCAAAATTAACAAAATCATCAAACTTTTTAAAATAACTTTCAATATTATTAATACAAAAATCTCTCGGAGGGATCATAATTTTCATATCGATTCGATTCAGGAATTCATTAAATTTAACACAGGACATCTAAACAGAGCGCGATCGTAATATCCTGTAAATTCTCTTGCAAATGTTTAGGTTTTGGGTATGTGCTTGAGGTTTGTTTTATTTCACTCTACACGTGTTATCTTTTAAAATTACCGTACAGAGGTCACGTACGTAAATTTACTCTCCCATACTTCTAACAGTAATACTCTTTAGAAATTAATAGATTCTGTAAAAAAGTTTTTATTTTGGGTGAAAGGGCCGTGTATTTCAGCACTAAATTGGTTTTCAGTTCTTTCCAATTCAGTTGTTTTGTTTTTTTTTCTCTATAATCTAATATACATTTACACTGCATGTATGGATTATTTCCATGTGATTAAACAGTTAGATTCGATTTGATGGTATTGTTTGCTGTATTTTAATATAGTGATTATATTAAAAATGTTAAATTTTTAAATCGTTGTCCATTTATTCTTCTATATCTTTTTGCTGTAAAGGTTAAGGGTTTTTTGTAAACGTCTGAAAAAAGCTTAAGCCATTAGAAGTAATCATAGTTTCGTTTGATTTCTCTCATTCTTTTCTTTTTTTTGACACAATTTCTTAAAGTTATCATTCTTGTGATTTTCTTCAATGATATATTTTTTGTCATATCGTGTAACAATTGCTTCAATCAGATTTTCTTGAGAACGCGCAGAATATGGATGAAGAAGAATTACTGTTGGAAACACCGAGTACATTTGTAAGTTTATGCTCATGTTGCATAGTACCACACGGTATTTTATGCAAAATCTTTTTTCAACTTCTTTGGTAAGCGTGAATACTAGTACTACCATATTTATTTATGAATTGACCTTTCTTCTGGGTACAAGCTCGATTGTCGGGGAAGTTTGAAATTTGTTGAAAAACAGTTCTCGTGACTCATTATTATCATTGTCAGGATGTTAGTAACTTAAGCGAGTTGGATGAGTCGGCAATTTTTGGTGATGACGATATTCAAGGAAGAAGAAGCATAAAAGACGAGATTGTGGAACATCATGAAGAAACCGAAGAACTTATATATGAATGAAGATTTGGAAGCCGAAAAAGCACCACGTTTATCGAAGTTCACTTCTGAACGGGTATAACTTCCAATATTTGTTATGTCTTTAACTTTTAAAGTATCTCTTATGATGATACTAGCTTTGAATTTTAGACGATAATGCAGAAACTCTTTGTTGAATGAAGCATCGTCAAAAGGGATGAGCAAATCGAAGTGCTCCGACAAACAGTGCGTCAGTCAGCAAATCGGTAACACGTTATACTTTCTTATATTCTTCATTATATTCTTTTTTCTTCTTTTCATTCGCGCTTTTTTGTGTTCTGGATATTTTTTAGCAATAAGTGTTTTGAATTATATAGGAATTCTCAATTGTAATTCGTTTGTTTTGATTAGGAAGCATATTATATTTTGTCATATTGATACATAATTCCAAGTACTGTTATTTTTTATCCTGGGTAGGAGAAAACTACCAAAATACTATGTAATTTTAAAGGTTAAGCCGATAAGTTTGGAGGATAACTTGTCTCGATCATCTCAAGTGCATTCGGTGAAGAACACGACAGGCACAACTCGTGCACCGAAAGTTTTCATTAACCCTCATCACAGAGGCGTTCTGAGACCACAAGGATCAACACCACATAGCTGTGAGGACACTTTTTAATTTGATAGTGTTTAATTTTTGATTTGATTTTTTTCGTCTGTTTTCATGAAGCAGTAGGCACAGCTGAAATTTTTGTATATGTCATGAATTTTTTAGATTCCTGTAAGGTGTCTTTTTATGGTAGTTTTAATGTAATGCCCTGTTTTATGTCTCTTGGCGTGCATTTTAGCGGATTGAAGAGTTTTTAGCTCTTATTACATTTTTTAAAGAGGGTACTTTGATGAGACAAAGTCTATATCATTGTAGACTTGTAGATTCCATTAAAATGCTGCAAACAATCAATTTCAGGCTGTTGGAATTTTTGTGTGAGTCTTAGATTCTACAATTGTTATTTATAAGCCTTTTTAATCTTTATTAAACTATTGCAGTACCGTTGCCATGGGAAGCGGCAGTTAGAGTACCTAGTGTACCAGGTTTACGACATCCGGTAGCCCTTCCACTACCAAACAGTGTCACAATGTTGCCACAAGTGTCACATTCAGTCCCTTTTCCTGTAAGTTTTTTTTTTTTTCTGGACACATTGCTAGCATTTTTAAAGGGAAATATCGCTAAGAATGTAAAGTTTGAAATTTGCGACACAGTTAAGACATTTCTTAGTATTTATAAAATAACAGTTATGATATTGTGTAATACTTTTGTGGACATTCATCGAGAGTGTTCTTTAACACATGGATTTAAAATGCTAACTATTAACGTTTACCAGCTAGTTGAAGCTATGATTCTTTCGAACAAATTTCATTTAGTTAATCATATTTAGCGTTTCATAGGTTGCTTTGAAGCTTCGGAAATAAGTCGTCTATATACACTATCGAAAGAATTAAATCTTATATTGTCTTAAAATACCCAAAATACATGAGTGATTTCCAAATGCCTCGAACAAATGTCATAGATTTAAAGTGTTTCACCGTAATTAAGACTTGTGATCTTTTTAAAACTAGTTATGTATTTAAATTATTTAGCATTATCCTTCTACATGTATAGTCTGTTAGTTCTAATTTTGACAGATGTTTTAGATTGTTCCATCATCATCCACAGATTTCTCGCGTCCACCACCCCAAATCATGCCACTTCCAAATTATTCAACACCACCTCCATCTGTTTATTCCTAGTCAGTTTATGGCAGAGTCTCTTGGCTTAATTCCATCCGTTGGACAGTGGGATCAAATGGTGGAAGGTTTTTTGCGTCGTACAACGGCTCATAGCAGATCTCGTTTCTCACGTTCACCACGTTCTTCCTCTTCTCACGTTCAAGTTTATCTCAATAGATACTTTTATTTTGAGTTATTTTGACTAGGAGTGTTGTGACACTTGCCAAGTTGATTAAATCATCTGTAAAATTTAATACAGTAATACCAGAACTCAGTTAATTATATAATAAATAATAGGAACAAGTAGAAAATTTTTATTTAAAAGTGCAGGTACACTATGGTGTCATTACAGAAACAACTAAATATGAAAACTCTTTCTACGGTAAAAAATTTATGAGATTTTAATTCGTAGGTCGCATTCTTATTCATCGCATTCCTCAAGTTCTACAGTATCTTCGCGTTCTTCATCACGTTCGCCTTATCGCCGAGTTCATTCACGCAGTCGTCGTTCATCTTCACGTCGTCCGTTCAACCATCGTTCAAGGTTGGAATTTCTAATGTTACTGGTCATGTTTCCTAATTGGTGGCACTCAAAACTTCAATATGTATTAAGTTTAGAGGCTTATTATTGAGTTTAGGTTCTATAAGTTTTTTAGTCTAATTACAAAAAGAAGGTCACGTATACCTTTTATGTATGCTATTTTTTCCTTTTTTTTTCTAATAATATTGATACTCTCAGGAATGAAGTGATACGTCGACGTTCCAGAGACCGTTTGAAAAAATCTGGCGATGGTCATAGAGAGTCGGTATACCATTATGATCGTACTAGAAATCGTGCAAATGATGTAGCGAAGCAGGTCAGTGGATATCTCCGAATTTTGTTGTTTCTAATACTTCAGAGGTACTTTTTTTTTGTTTTTGAACTCTTAATTGCTTCAGGAAAAGACTATGGAATGCGCGAAAGCAATTGGTTTAGACAGTGAATATTTGACAAAGCTGGAGGAGCAGAAAAAAATGCGCGAAGTGATTTACGAAAAAAGAAGAGCGGCGTATTCAAACTGTTCAACGTCTTGGAGGACCAATTTCTGCATCCGACCAGAAGTCTATGCGGCAGTTGAACCGTACCAGTAATTTCGGTGAACGGCGACTTGAGCACAATCGAAGAATGGATGAAGAGCATTCCAGCAGACGAAAATTTGACAGTAGGATGCGAAAACTAGTGGAATTCGAAATGGAAGAAAGGAGCCTGTGAGTGGTACAAGTAGTGACGTTTCACGAGAAGCCGTTAACGTTAACCGACTAGAAGCATCAGTTTGTGCGGAAAAAGGTGTAGCTACTAATAGTAGTGTCATACAAAAAATGGAACCTGCTGTGGTCGGAAATGATCCCAATATGGAGCAAACGGCTGCAAGAGTTACTGCAGTTACATCAGTTCGTCGTGCTAAGCGAGAAAACGAACAGAATCCGGAGCGAACACGGAAGAAGAAAGCTTATTTGGCTGTTGTTATCAGTTCATTGAATCAGGCTCCGATCAATGTAGACAGAATCAGGATCATTGCTGAGACTATTGGGCCTACTAAGGTATCGAAGTTTTTATCGTAAACTTTTTAGTAGGGAACTATCTTGATTGAATAGCGAGTTATATATAATTATATAATTAGATTAGTTTATATAAATACAATTAAATTAAGCGCTTACTGAATAAAGGATTCTTCCTCCATGCTTAAAAGAACGAAATCATTTCGTTGAAATCTTTAGAAAGTGTGGAGATCGTCGGAGAATACCGTATCGCTTATTTTTGAGGAACATGAGAGCGCCAAGAAATTCATGTTTCATTATCACAAGTTTGTTCATTTTTATTATCATATTTTATACTTGCTTTTATCAGATATGTTATGGTATGTTAGTTTAGCATTTCTTCCCGATCAGACTGTGATTGGAAATTTGAGAATTCACTGCAGGACGGCGTACATAGAACAGATGGAAGCATTTTGGAAGAAACATCACGTAGAATTATTTTGATCAGTTAGTAAAGTTTATAGAAGCGTTTGTTGTGTAATGTTCCCTTATGAAGTTTCTGGCGAAATTCCTGTAGCTACTATTATTGTAAAGGTATTTACTATCTTAACTTATTAAAAACAAGTGGTGAGAAGATCTGTGTATCCGTTTATTGCTTTATTTACATCACTTTTAGTCGAGTAATCCACGGTGTACAACTTGCTGTAACGCTACAAAAATTGTTCGCTAATTTGACGGAACTTCCATGATGAATGCCTCGGTTGCCGTTGGTGAGATTTGCTGAAATTCTCTTCAACGCACGAAATGAACATTTTTATTGGGTAGCTATTTATTTTGAGCGTTATCTCTTAAACTATTGGCATTATCATCAAATTTATGAGCTCGAATAGCTACAGTAAGAAAATATTTTATAAAACTAATTCAAATGAGATATCCAAATTGGGTTCCATATCCACTATGTGTGGTTTTTTTTTTTTTCTTTTAATATGGTCTTGTAAAAGAAATAGTGATTGTAGAGTATATTGATAATCGATAAAGTATTATAATCCTTGGTTTTTTTATTTTTGATGTAACTGCTTATATTTATATTCAAATTATTTGCACTAGAGAATAACCGTTCTTATTTTTCGATTTTTGATTCCTGGAAAAGTGTAATTTTGATAATAAGTTTGTTAGTGCTATTTTACTGTTTCAATTATTCCTTAATTGTTTGCATTGATGAACAGTGGATGATTTTATTTTATTATTTTGTTATCCATTTTTCATTTTTTAAACTAGTTTTTTGTTGGTCTTTGACCTTCTTGCAAGTTTTAAAAGCATAATTTTTCCGAAGCTTGAAATCTCTATTTTTTGGGAATTTATCAAGTTCTTGCTTACAACCAACAGTAGTTATTGAATGATGAAGTGTTTACTTGCATTATTATTATTTTTTTTTTTTTTTTTTTTTTTGCTGCATTTTTTTCTTTGCAGTAGATGTTTGACTTTAATCCTCGTAAATTTTGGAAGTCTAGTGTCTTAAAGCTCACAGTTTCCATTCTATGTTTATTTCAAATGCGTCCTTCTAACAAAATCTCTTTACATTGACAAGTGAGCGATTTAATATATTCTGATGTTTTGATGTTGTATTTTTCTTTCTTTTAGCACGTAAATCATGGTATTTTTTGACTTTACTCCTTACAAATTTCGAAAGCTTAACTTCTCAGCAAGTTACATTCCTCTTCCTATTACTTTATTAAATATTTGTTCCCGATATATTAAACTAAAATATATTTTAAGTAGATCTGGTTGGGTGTTGATTCAAAATGTAATGTTTAACATTTCTGATGATTTACTGCTGGTCATGCGTTTCATCCATAATTTCACGTTGTAACAAGTTGTGTTTTGCGTTTAACTTTAACTTTTTCGTAAAGTATCATGATTTTTGCTCGAATCAAGAAGCATTACTTGTATCTTTCGATTAAGTCGGAATATAATTTGGAGAAAATTGACTTTGTATTGTTTGTTTTTGCTCTTAAAATTCTTGTTATAATTCACAAAAGGGCTTTAGTAATTTCAAAAATGGGTGGACCACTGACTGTAGCTGTGAAATTTGATTGTTCGCTTATTATTCCAAGAAACTGTTCCTTTTCGATTACTGTTGTGGTTGAGAAGCATATTGCTATCATATAAAGTATTGTTTCATGTCACGTTCTCTCCCATTCTATTAAACGAAGTTCGAGACTTCGTTATATTTTTGATATATATGTCACTTTCAAATAGAATTGTATTAAAGTTCAACTTTTAATTACATACACTTTTTAAAAGCTAGCTTTTCGGACTTTTGTACGCTGTTAAGAGTACATTGAATAATATGATTATGTATTACCACAATAACTCTGAATATCTAAATAATCGATTTCAGTTAATTGATTTCTTAATGATATAATGGACAATTTTTGCACATATTTACGGGTATAAAGAAATCTCAGTTATCATAACATCTTTTTAATTTTCTCATTCCTCTATGCTGCTATTTTATTACTCTCAGTAATATCACTAGCTCATTGTAATGAGCAAATAAATAATAAATAAAAAATGCTTTTCATTCATGTATTCTTTTTTTATTTGTATACTTTCTTTTCCAAGTACAGTGATACGTACCTCTTGTTGTTCGCGTATTCTTCAAATCAAAAAAGGTAAACTGTAAAATATGTATACGGGTACTAGAATAAAAATGATTTGGTCGTGTTGTTTCTTTAATACACTGAATGCTAATTTCTTCTATTCGATCATTGTTTGATGATTGCAAAAATTAATTGTGCTTCTGGATGAATTGGGGGAAAGTTGAATGAAGGATGTGGTGGAAATTAGGTTATTGCAGAGGAGACACCATCATGATATGTCTTCATATGACCGAAAATTTGCTCATAAATCAAGAGCTTCGGGATTTGCTTCAGTACACAAGAAACCAAGTCTGAATGATAGTTTCATACCAAGAATAATCAGTACGAGTGGTTGTTCGTGGAAATCAAGTTTTTCTTTCCAGGAATAACTGACATTTTCCAGAACTGTCTTGGAGAGGAGCAATAGTGTAATCCGGGCAATTGTGAATATGTAAATTAATATAAAATTCTGTGCTGTAAGTAAAAAAGTCCCATTTGCTGGAACTTGGGATTTTTCATAAGCGATAGTAAAAATTTTACTGACAATAAATAAAAAAATATAAAGTACAGCATTATTCAAACAAAACGACTTCTAAGCCAAGACGAAATGTTCCGCCAGCAACACAATATCAGTATTTAATTCTTTTGGCGATATCGCTGAAATGTTGACATTAATTCCTTTAAGAAGAAAACGGTTGGAAAATTAAAGTCTTGGAACCTCTAGAATTAATGGAAAATAGTGAATATTTAAGATATAGTTCAGTTCAACTTATTTGCTAAATTCGTAACATCTGTCCGCACACCCTTAATCTTTTTTTAAGAAACACATTTTAGATAAGGACTCTTATTCTTGCAATGAATTTATTGAAAATCTTACGATCTATGGCCTTCTATTTTTCGTTTTTCAAGTATTTTAGTTATTTCGGAGAATTCACGATCCAATTTATGCTTTTCTCGATCTGGAGCACTTTTTCTTGTTTTCCGTCCATCATTTGTTTTCACTCCGAACTGATACGCCGCTCTGGAACGCAAATCAAAATATCAAATCGAGACCGTTTAATATGCTTCACAAAGGGACGTGATGTGGCTCATATAAATAATGATACAATAATATAATTACGCTAAGAACTGCCTAAAGATCTAAGGTCTTTCGAGTGACTATGACTATAAGAAAGTATCTTTAACTTGCTGCAAATATAGGATATTAATGGATTTTTTCCTACTTCAGGATTTTCAAATGTCCTACTTTAAATTTAACTTCAGGCATGTCTTACTTCGGCATAGCTTCTTTCGATTCCATATACTTTTCATAGTCTTCGTGATCCTCGAAATCCCAACGTTTCACTGGACCTCGTCTATTTCCCTGTAAAAAACAAAAGTTTAAGAGTCTTTCTATTTAAATCACCTCACATATGGAATTTTAGGCGTCTTTATACTAATTCCAGATATGACTATATGATCAATCAACAGATAAACGGAAACATAAAATGCAAGCATCTCATTTTTACTAACCATATCCATTTTTGAATAATCAGCTTCGTCATCGCTTTCTCCCGCAGCTTCATACATACCACCCGGATAGCATTCAGCATAACCTTCTGTTTCCATAGGCACTCTTTTTTTCTTTTCAGATGGTGCATCATTCTCAACCAATTTCACTACTTCTCGACGTTCACCTCGTCTTTCGTCGTCCCGCGTACGACGTTCCCGATCTCGATCCCGATCTCTTCCCCTTTCGTAATCACGATTCCTGTCACGATCGCGATTCCTATCTCTGTCACGATCCGGTTCGCGATCATCGAAGTATCTGAATTTAAAATGTTAACTTATATATGCGTTATAACATTTCAAATGTTAACATACGACATTACCGTAAAAATTGAAAAAGTTAACACACATTAGTCTTTTATTTAATCAAAATCTCAATCCGCCTCTTGATCTCTTTCCATATGATTTTAAATCGGTTTCAAAAAACAATGAACAAAGATATATCAATAAGACGAATAACAAGAAATAAATCCTTATTTCAGTTAATTACTTCTCGACGATGAAAGAGGATTACCTCACTTGAAAGTAATGTATTGTTTAAAAAAAAAAAACGTAAAATACACTACTTCAAAACAGTGGTAAATTGATACAAAAATATAAACTGCATGGGAGAAAAGAATGACGATACATCAACACTTACGAAGAAGGTTTTAAACGTTTCCGATCCCGATCACGTCTTTCTCGATCACGATCATTTCTGGAAGCAGCGTAATCACGCTGATCGTCAAATATTGGTTGTGAAGCTATCTTAGTATGCTCATCGTTCGTACCTTCAGTTTTTTTCTTTTTCTTCTGTGTATCGGCGCGCAAATATGATAGAACTTGTGTGAGTTTCTGAAAATTTAGGACAGTTGGAAAAAACTAGGTTAAATAATTGCCCTTTATTACGACAAAATTAAGTACCTGAATAAGCATATTGCTGGTGTTGATATCATGAGTACTTTCTGTTGCGGGACAATCATGAACAGAACGTAGCAATGTAGTAGGCAAATCATTATCTTCCTCCTCCAGATCAATGACGTAAGCCATACGACCCTTCCTAAATTTCAATTATAACATTAAAAAAAATTGTGAAAAAAAAATTAAAACAATAAGGGATAAAATATAGCAACAGTCTTGCCTGAATAATTCATTACACGCAGGAAGTTCATTCTGAAACAATGCTCGATGAATGTTTCGAACCATTCGATTATCTGATTGTGGCTCGCCTTTCTGACTGTCTTTCTAGAACATGGAAAAGATCAGAAAATTCACCAAATTTTCAGTATATTTCGAAAGAATGAAGTAAAGTGTAACAAGAAAAATTATTTTATGGTGAAACTTTTCTTTTTTTATTTGCAGTTAATTTAAGCACATTGTATTTGAAAAAAAAAAAAGACAAAAAAAAAAAAAACAAAAAAACAAAGAAAAGACTAGCATATGCAAGAAAGAAATAAACACAAATACATAAAAACCTATAATGTTATGACTTACATTATATTGTGATTCCAATACTTCATCACTTTTCTGTTCTCTCATAGCTATTTCTGAACGAACTTTATGCAGCAATGAATAGTCCAAACCTTTCACTAAATGAGTATGCTCCATATCACCACCAAGATATTTACTTTCCTGCAGATTTATTCCATACATTCATTACGATTTACGAGCTTGTAACTTTCCATCACATTGCATTTTATTGCTTCAATAACAAAAGATGAAGATTCTTGCAAAAAAATCTCTAAACATCTCAGAAACTTGGAATAAAAATTAAGCAGTAAATTACCTGAATTGCCTGTTTCCTACGTTGTGCTGCATCAACTGTTGCCCTTACATCACCAGGTACTGCTCGGTATGCATTATTTGCATGTAAATCATCAATAGTATCATCTTTTCCAACTCCCTTTCGTCTTTCTTCCGCTCGGTCACGATAATTTTTTAAAATCTCATTTAAATTTGATGGTCCTGTAACACCAATTTTTTTTGCTTTATATGCCAGAAGCGATGTGAAATCATTAATAAATGATCCAAACAAGGATTAGTTAATTTTGCAATCTTATATCGCTTCAACTGACAGAATTAATATATTTATACAAACCAAAAATATCGTCTTCGTCATCAATACTACTCCGTTCCCTTTGTTTCTTGGCCTTGGTACCTGTATTGTGGCTTCTTTTCGAACTGAAAGCAAAATATATTTGTTGTGTAGTTTTGAGTAACCAAACGGTTTACTCATTCAAAATAATCCTTCGACTATCGTTTCATAAACAAATACAAGGAATTATGATATTAACCAGTAACAAAATACAAACTCTTTTCTCTGTCTGACATCTGCTTTTTTTTTTTTGTCTTGACCTTTCCTTCTAACTGATAGATAGTTAGAAGAAGTATGTTAACAAAATAACTAACTCAACAGCTTGTCGATGGCTGAATGAATGAGTAGTTTGTGTCTGTGGCCCTCCATTTGCATTTGTGTTTGTTTGAGCTACCTTCTTCGTCAAAAGTTGGCGAAAATCTTCATTACGTAACGTTGCCATGGTCCCATTTCGTCTAAATGAATAACACAGTCAGTAATTTTTTAATTATGCTTCAATAAGAAAAAAAAACTTTACCCAGTTGAGGATGAAGTGCCCAAAAGCTCTTTCAAATCTGTTTCCATAGGTGAGGTAATTCAGTGATAATAGTTTCTGAAAGAAGAATGATTATTTTAACAAGCGTAAACATACGTGAACTCACAATTATGTAAAGTCCAATACAAACTTTAGCAACTTCACAGCAAATTCAGCATTAGGTTGAAATTTCAAACATCACAGAGAAAAAAAATGAGATGAGAAAGTTCACAAATGTGAGAGAGCATTACAAGTGAAAAGAAGCATACGAAACACATGAAGAAAATGTTGGCTACTAGTTTTGAAACCTTCAGTAACTCTTCACTTTTGAGATTTAGTTTATGCTACACGTACAATATTAAGAGTATCAGACAACGATAGTAGAAGTAATATTATTGACATGAGAAAAAAACATTTCAACATAGACAGTGGGTTTTAATAGTGAGTTGGTAGAAGTGAATTAAAGATTGGAGAGAGATTACGCAATCGGAAGAGATTATGACGATTGATGGATGATGAAAATAGCGAATGTTATTGGTGGTAAGAGATGGAAAGGTTAATTAATTAATTAGTTAAATAAAAGGAACAAATTAATAGACTTTCTGAAGAGAAATAGCAGAATTCGGGATGGTAAACATAATCCGAGAATACTTCTAAATGTATGTATTCTGCATGATGCGTCAATGGTATACAATTTGCGCCTAAATTAATGAAATAGGAAATGTACTATAATTGAATTGAATTAAATAAGCAATAGTTTTGATTTTCGTTCTAAGAAATTTTTGAAAAGATTTTCTTTTCTTTTTTTTTTTTTTTTTGATCAATCAAATTTCTTCCTTTTAGTGCTATTTAACGAACACTCTAATCGATCAAAATATATGCAATAATCAATACTAACATCAAATTATATAAATAATCTGTCGCGGATTTTAATATCGCGATCTAAAAATATGAGTTGCAAATTGTAGTAAAGATATCTACGTAATTTCCGCAAATAATGCTTATACTTCGGACTCTTTGTTTCCAAATTTATGCTTCTACATATTGAAACAATTTACATCGTTCTTTGTTAGCAATCCTTACAATCATGAGGATATCTACATTGTTCTTTGTTAGCTATCATAATCATGCGGTTATCTAATAAGCTCTTTATTAGCAACTGGTGCCCATGCAAGCACCTCCTCTCCTTTGTTTGGATCATTGTCTAACATCAATGTAGATTTTATAACCATACTATTGTCAATTAGATCAGTTTTAAAAATCATCCAATCCTCCGAATCAGTTTTATTCAATTGTTGCCCAAATATTTAGCTGGCATCCAACACATCTCCCTGACATCAAACTTCTCCCCCGAATAACAATTTAACCAAATCATAAAGGTTGTTTCCATAAAACATTTTTGCTTCCACTACAATTTTGGTGCCACGAGCCGGGACATGTCCGACAGTATAAGAAAAGGAAGCGAATTATCGAAGTCGAGAACTCTAGAACTTCTTAAAGAAGCAAGTGAACTCGATCTGACCTCCCCGTCTCAAACACTATCACGAGGGGAACTTCAGCATCAATACGAAATTAAATTGCGAATCGTCAAGGAGAAGATCGCACATCTCGAATATTATGCTGGGTTACTCGAAACAGCTAATCAAAATTGGCTGGATAATATTCAGAGCTTGACAATAGCAACGAGGAGAAAGGAAGAGGAGACGAAATACGCCAATATGGTTGACGATCCACAAGGTATTTTAAGTTTAATCACTAGAACAAGAGAAACTATTATTACCCTTAAAATACATACTGATGAATATTGCTCGGTACTACAACATTTAAAACAAGAAGAGGTCAAAGAATCATTTCCAAAGAATAGTATGATTCACACAAATCAAGCAGAAATAAAACTTCCTCAATTACCACTAATAACGTTTAGTGGGGATCCAAAATTGTGGAGGCAATTTTGGTGTAGTTTCAAGGCAGCAGTCCATGAGCAAAGCATCCCAGATATTCAAAAGTTAAACTATCTGATATCATGTCTTAAAGGAGATGCTTTGTTATCTGTAAGAGGTTATGATATAGCGCCAGAAAACTACGATGTTATAATAGGTTTACTAAAAGAGAAATATGGTAAACCTTTCCTTATAAAGAAATCACTCTACAACGAGTTGAATACCATCAAAAAAAATGACCGAGAGTGGAAAGCAACCATAGAAGCCATGGAGAGAACATTTCGACAACTGGAAGCTATAGGTGAAAATTTAGAGCATTCAAGCATCGAAATTACAATTGAAAATAAACTACCAGCGTGGATAATTGATAAATTATACCAATTGAAAGAGGATTCGACGAGTTGGTCAGTTAAGGATATCCGGCAGTACCTGACAAAACTAGTTCTAAGAAATGAAGAAGTTGCTAGAAGTCAAGCAGACACAAGGGAGAAGAAAACAAACAAAAATAATGTTAGAGGCGAAACGTCAGCTTTCGCCACAATCAACCAAACAAAGGGAGATAATACAATCAAATCAAAAAAGGTTCCAGGAAAAATTTCTATAAATGGGAAAAGGAAACCATGCGTATTTTGCAATAAGGACCACTGGAACAATGAATGTAACATCTATCCCACTCTCAAACTCCGGATGGAACGTTTGAGAGAAATCACTGCATGTTTCAAATGTTTACGAAAAGGACATGCAACAAGTGATTGTAAAAAAGGGAAACCTTTGTGTTTCCATTGTAAAAGTCCACACAATACAGCACTGTGTCCCAACAACTACAAGGAACTCACGCAAGCAGTGGATTCCAACAAAGAAAGGTTGGGTTCAGTCACAATCGCTAACTCCATTACCGAAAAAGGAAATCAATGGAAAAGGCGAACCTTACTGTTATGTAAGGAAATAAATGTAACCAATCCAAATCGCCCAAAAATCCAACAAAAGGCTTTAATTCTATTCGATATTGGTTCTCAATTATCGTTCATATCAAAGGATTTGGCTTATCGATTGAATCTACAAGAAACTAACGAGATGGAAATAAAAATTGCTTCATTTGGTGATAAGACGCCAAAAACGTGTATCACTACTAAAACTGAAATCGGAGTAAAAATTGGAAATAAAGAAATAATCCGATTAGATGTAATAACAGTTAACCACTTGACGAATGAATTGCAAGTAGTTAATCTAAACAAAAAGGAATTGTTGATGATAGACAAACGAAATCAGTTTAGTAATTTCAAAAACAAATGGAAACAACCGGACATACTCATAGGTGCGGATCACTTCTTCAAGTTTATCCAGTTTGACCAAGCAGAGAACTTAAAATCAGGATTTTCATTGATCCATACAAAGGTTGGACCTATAATAGCTGGAAGTGGGTATATAAATGAAATACACGACAGTATTTCAGAAACCACATCAGTAAGTCCGATTTCTCAAGTCAATGCCGTCAATATTCCAGACTTAGATCACTTTTGGAAACTGGAAATAATGGGTATACAAGACAAAATAAACTCTGACAATGATGAAAAAGCATTGCAGCAATTTAAACAAACTATCACTAGGGACAAGGGAAGATATCAAGTTTGTTGGCCTTGGAAAGATTCAAAGAACAAACTAAGCGATAATTTCGGACTTTGCCTTGGAAGATTAAAGTCGTTAATTAGGAGGCTTCAAATGAAACCTCAATTACTAAGTCGATACAATCAAACTATTGAAGAACAACTCAATTCCAATATAATTGAGAAAGTGTCATCGGAAATGAATGAAGTTGGTATTATTCATTATCTGCCTCATCACGAAGTAATAACACCAAATAAAACCACGACAAATCTGAGGATAGTTTATGATGCATCAGCTCATTGTAAAGGAATGAAAAGTTTAAATGATGTTTTATATCGGGGACCAATAACACTCCCTGATTTGGTTGGAGTTTTGCTACGTTTCCGTACAATGAAAAATGTAATAATAGCAGACGTAGAAAAGGCGTTCTTGCAAATAGAATTGCATCCAACAGATAGAAACTGCACTCGATTTCTTTGGTTGAAAGACATTCGAAGTCCAGTTAACGAAGAAAACGTAAGTTGTTACCGTTTCCAACGAGTTCCATTTGGAATTGTATCATCTCCATTTTTATTGTCCGCTACACTCAATTATCATTTGGAAACTTGTAAAAGCAAAATCGCACTCGAGTTAAGGAAAAATCTCTATGTCGATAACATTATAATACCAACCAAAGGAACCAACGAAGCTCTTTCCAATTATAAGGAAATTAAAATTATATTCAATGAAGCATCAATGAATGTACGGGAATTTCTCTCTAACGACCAAGAAGTCAATGAAAAACTTCCGGTACAAGATCGAGCAGAGGTAAGTTCAATTAAAAAAATTCTAGGTCTCAATTGGTACCACAAACAAGATATCATTCAAGTAACGTTAAAACCATGGTTTGGTAAGAAATTAACTAAAAGAATTGTATTGCAATTCGTAGCCTCACAATATGACCCACTAGGATTCATAGTTCCTATACTGATAAGATTCAAATTGTTTCTCCAAACTTTGTGGAAAAAGAACCTTTCATGGGATCAAACTATAAGTGAGGAAGATGAAACCACGTGGAAATTACTCACGAACGAATGGCCAAAGAAACTAAAGGATCTACCAAGATTCACAACAAATTGTTCCAAGCAAGTACAATTTCATGTTTTTACTGACGCATCAACTGCTGCATACTCAGCAGCTTTATACATTCGAACTCAAGAAAGAGAAGTATTCTTAGTGTTTGCTAAATCCCGAATTGCGCCAATTAAAGGAATGTCAATACCTCGATTAGAATTACTGGCAATACTCATCGGAGTGAGAATGGTACAATTCGTATTAAAACAAAAAGAGCTTGAGGACGTGATAACAATTTTATGGTCCGATTCTCAATGTGCGCTTCATTGGGTTCACAATAGTTCCCGTTTACTACCAACGTTCATACAAAATAGGGTAGAAGAAATACGAAAGGCGAAAATCCATTTTAGATATATCCCAAGTGAACAAAACCCAGCTGATATAGCTACAAA